CTTCTAAGTTTTGAAACAGTATCCGGTAATGTGACCTCTTTGTTTAATACTGTATATATATATATATCCGTGTCAATGTAAATTACTTGTACCAGATGATGACAAAACCTTGTCGAAACGTTGTACACTTGCTGTTATGTTAAACTTATATTAAAGTTTTTCTGCATTCCCCATTCAAGCCGTCTCCAACCATTAATAGTAGTGAGTTGTCTGTCAGTCAGACAAGCAGACACTATAATGACGTTACATAAGGGACACTTAACGATGCAATTTGTACTGTCGTGACGTCAGTAAAATGTGCGCCTGCCATGAATCACGAGAAAAATTATGCACTCTGTAGGCTGCAACACAGCATGACATATGATCTTCAAAAGAAACAAATAAAAATGTTTGTCACTCTTTAATTTTAGTTTTATTTACTCTTGAAACAAAACACTTTCGGGGACCCTGCGGAAGTACATCTAGTAGTAATTTCATACACTACTCTCTAGTGCCCGTAGAAATTATACTGAGTACTTATCAAATATCAGAAGTTCCAACAATTAATAAATAGTATGATATTTATATGCATATTTAATGAGAAAGTTCAAACTTATACAAATATTATTTAACATATTTATTTTGATACTTTTCACAAAATATGCACTGCAGTTACCGGAATACTGTGGAGGTTGCCAATTTTGTCTCAAACTGCACCATTCATATTGATTTTCTTTTTGGGTCAGTTGGAATTCTGTAAAAAGATATACCCGGCTTTGAACCCCATTTATTGGTGCAACCAAAAGCGCAACAGTGGAAAGACGTTTTAAAGTTTCATTTATTTATTTATTTATTTTTACTGCCATCCAATATGACAGACACTAGGTGAAAAAATATAATGACGTCATTCTGGTAAGGAGTCTAGTCTGTATTTTCCGAAACTTAAGTCTGTAACCTCTCGTACCTTTGGAATATAGAACAAATAAATCAGAATTCTTCATGTTATCAATCCACCAGATAATCTTGTAAGCTTCGGTAAGATCACTTCTTTTCTCAAGAAGAAATAATTTAAAGAAATCTTAACCAAACCTAAAAATTATAACTCTCTCATCTATAGAACCATCTTAGTAGTTCCTTTTGAACGGTGTCCAATGAGACAATGTCCTTTGTCAGATAAAGCGACCATAACTGTACACAGTGTTCTAAATGAGGCCTAATTAGTAATTTGTCTAAAAATATAATTATTTCTTTTGACTTGTAATCAAAATGTTTATAAATATATCTTAAAACTGTATTGGCTTTACAACTACCAACTTCGATAGCCTGAGTGACCTTTGTGTCAGTATCCTTTTGTTTTTCAGTCACGCTATATAGTTGTTTCCCATCTATATTAAACCTGTGATCCAAATTATAACTCAAGTGCTTTCCCTTACATTTACTATAGTTAGTGACGTAAAAAAAAGTAAAGATTGATATCAGTTTGCCAAAAAAATTGTAGTATACCTTTGACATATGCGGAAATGTGAATAATAAACATATCATGTACTAACAAATATTATTTTTTCATAGTACATCAAGCAAAAGTTTAATAACATTATAACTGGGTTTGTTTCTATTGTCTCAGTGCAAAACTTATCTTGTTTTTTTTTTTACGATTCTCCAAAGCACACAGAATTTAAAACTTAATATTATTATTCATGAAAATATTCCACTCATTTTAGATTCTTTTAGTTACCAATAATAAGTCAATGACAGAAGCTGGACTAGTTTTCTAAATTTTAAATAAAGTAAAATTGGCATTGTTATTATAATGATTAGAACTTAAATCACACCATTTAATGGGGTCACAGGTACCATATCGGAGGAAAATTTGGCACTATATTTTTAGAAAAGTCCATTACAATATCTCTTCATCTTTGTACGGTAGACATTTCTGACACTTTACATTAAATGCATTACTGAATTTAAATGATTGTTTGTAATTAAGCACAAAGCTACACAATGGGCTATCTGTGCTCTGTCCACCAAGGGTATCGAATCACGGTTTCTAGCGATGTAAGTCCGCAGACATACTGCTGAGCCACTGGGGAGCGAATTTAAACGAGCTTCAGCTGAGTTTTTAAAAATGGGGTGTTTAATGTGTCATTGTTTTCTCTTAAAATATTCGACATTAATGTGTCAAATAAATTTATATTGTCCCTTTAGTCATCGTGTATTAGCTTAAAACGATTTTTACGTTGAGTCATATGACATCTGTGTATTATACAGACCAGAAAATGTAAATTAAACCTAAATAATAATAACATGACTTTTAGCAGAACAAAAATACTCAGCTTCTTTTATGTGCACAATAAATTGTAATAAAGTTAAAATAGAATTTTTTATCAAGTGCAGCCTCATATAATAATAATTTGGAAATGGACAACTCAGCTGGGACTAGAAAGTTTGTTTTTATGTTAAGACCTACGTAAACAAATTTAGACGTTTTGTCCTTACTTATTAAGGAAAACTATCGCAGTTAAGAAAAATATTTTGGTATCTTAAAATTTGTTTACTCCCCCAAGAGTACAATTACTTTTTGAAACAGACTTAACTATCAAGTAAATGAATGCTTATTTTATGTAAGTATTCTATAAACAGGAATATAATTAGATTTGGTTTGAAATGAATTGATTTTGTTCAGCTTCTTTTTTTAAATAAAGAGAAACAACAGAAGGTATAATCAAAGCCTTCAACAGCATAGAATATAAAACTAATTGTGTTGTCCAAATATTATTGTACTTGACGTACGTCGCATGGCCACAACCAAACTGCACGCATTTAAAATATAATACAATTGACAGCTTTCAACTTCGTGGGATTCTAGTTCTTACCAGCCCATATCGATAATGAGAAGAACATTCATTTGATGACTTAGTGCATTCTTGTTATGGTAAGCGTTTGTTTGTTTCATGACAGTGCACGTTCCTACTTAGATCGCTGTATTAAAATTGCTATATTATTTATTGTTTGAACTTAATAGTTCCAATCTATATATGTAACTGACTTTGACCAGAAGATACTGATGATAAACAATAAGTTATTTTCAACATTATATTTTTGTCTTATTTCAAGGCAGTCATATTTATAGAGTATAAGTTTTTACCTAGTGTTTGCAGACGATTTTCAGAAACCTACTCTGTAATGATCTATGAAGCAATGCACAATGCATTTTATTACCCTTCTATAATACAAAGGAATCTTATAATACTACTTCGTTAGATGTATTAAGTTAAACATACTTAAATAATGATTACAAGCAGAAATGACAAAACTAGAATCAGTAAGTGTACAGCACAATTATTACCTAATGTTATTAATAAATAATCCTTTAAAATACATTTGATAAAATAACACTAGCTTTCATAAAATATTTTTCTTCACCAAGATAAATAATTAGTCACAAAATTCTGCTATAAGAGACTACATAAATGTAGACTCACTCAACACAAGTCAATAGTACTATATTTTTAAAGATGTTTGTCTTTCTGGCGGTTCCTTTGTTCTCTCACCTCACTGGAACAGCTTCTTCATTGGGGAATAAACACATCCTGAGAATGCCAAGGAACAATCAGAATTTTGAGTTCCTTTCATAATAGCTTCTTGATACTGTTTCATTCCAGGCAAAAACTTGCTGTGTGGACAAAACAAACGAGATTTATAACTGGATTCAAAGGCCATATCTTAAATATATTATCAAAACTAAATTAAACTTTGAATAACTGATTTTTATCACAACTTTTTCAATTTAGTTGGTATTTGGCCAATTAAATACATACTTTAGAAAAATGGTATCATATATTCGAGTTGAAATCGCTAACACATAACACACTGAAGATACTATAACTCGAGACAAATCTAGATGCATCCAAACGTTTGGTTACTCGCGGTGTTATCTTTTTTTTTTAGTTCATACACATATTTATAGCAATTATCTTGAAATAAATGTTTAAGATTCGAAATACGACTTCTAATGTCATGGCTTAAATGCCCATGTTTTCATAGGATCCAATGAAACGTGTGATTTTAAGTACATCACAGTATCACGTGTGCAAATAATTAGCTTAAACGCACATGACGTGAAACATATAGTAACAGTAGATTAATGTATCATGGAAATGCTAAGAATTGAGTTTAATTTTAACATGTACGTTTGAAATACACAATTATTTCATTTTGAAACTCCTGCTTATCTGCCATGTATTTGAGTTGTTGTTTTTACAGGTGTACCTATATAAGTGAAATCCAATCAATAAGTTCTACCTTGCTAATCTTATGAAGGCTTCAGTTGCTGGGAGCCTCTTCACCACATAATCACTCAGTTCACACATTGCTTTGGCCTGACACACATCTTCTTGGATGCCCAGGTAATAGAAAGAGGTTTCTGTGAGGTTGACATCGTTGAGGTTTGTCATTATGCGGTTAAAATCTACTTCATTCACGGCATCAGCGAACGTACGGAATGCGGCAGACGTAGCGACAGGAACTCCGAGCAGGGAAGAAATGGAAGGAAAAAAGAATGCCAAGATGAAATAGAAAAAATACGCAACACCAAATGCCAAAACAGCTGTCTGAGCGTGCTGGCTATGTTGGATATGGCAGAAGCAATAACGGGGAATACTTGTGTTCCTAGAGGGACGAGCTCAGCAGGAAGCAATCCCGTGAGGAGTCCCTCAACTCCAGCTCGTTCGTATTTCTCCACCTTAACAGGATCGGTCAAAGACTTGCCAAATAGGCCCAGCATGGTCAGGCATAGAAGTGGGATCACAAAAATACTGAAGAGTTTCATTTTGGTTTCTGAAATAAAGTTTTTATAGAAAAGTGGGATCACAAAAATACTGAAGAGTTTCAATTTGGTTTCTGAAATAAAGTTTTTATAATATTAATTAAACATAGTAATTTGTATGTATTAAGTGTAAACGAATGTTATATATATTAGTCTTATTTTCAAGCTAAAAAATTAAGCAAAGAACACTCTTTAAAGCAACAATCCTTTGACTAACAAATAACTACAAACGTAACTTGTAAATCATGTTTTTGTAAACCTAAAACGCAGGCAGAATAGGAATAAAAAGGTATTTGTTTGCTTGGACAAAGGTCTCATCTTCTTTTGTGGTGGTTGCGAAATGTAACAATAAACAAACGAAATATATATAGTACACAAACACACATATATGTCTATGTATAAATATATATATATATACAAAAAGTCTGCTTCTAGGTTTTGTTTTTTCTTTCTAAGCACAAAGAGCTGTCTGTGCTCTGCCCACCACGGGTATCGAAACCCAATTTTAAGCCTTATATGGGGGATAGACATTTTAAAGACGACCAAGGAATTCTGATATTAATGCTTGCATCATCTAGTATTATATATATGTTAGTAGGAAAATATATTGCATTAGTTTGGAATAATGCTTTATGTAAAAACCTTCTGGCTGATAGATGGGACAATCTTAAAAAAAAAGTTCTTCTATTTGTCTTATCTGTCTAATATAAGCAGCAAAGAACCCACCAAAAATATTGGATTTGTAATCGCATTCAGTAGGAATCACGATTAAGTTGGGAAACCTATTTCAAAATGATCTTACAATATTTCTTAAAACGTATTGTAATTGATATGCCCTTAGTTAACCCTAAGAGATATAGAAACATACATAAATCGTATTTCTCAGTTCATTGTTGCATTTTCTAAACCCAGTCATTGAATTAAAACAGTTAAGTATTATAAACATTCTCACATTTTAGAACAATAAATAGTATGAACAAATGAAGTAATATACCATTTCATTTTCTAAAGTAATTCTAAACTAAGCCTAAAATAGTGCGCTTCACACTCTTCAGGGAGTTTTATTCGTTCTAATATTATAAATTAGGTATCAAATTAATGTTTAACAGCCTCACCTTTTTGCAGGCTAACTTTGACTAGGCTTCTAGATTTCTGGACAAGTGAATAAATTCTCTCTCTCTCTCTGTAAAATTAATGATTTGGCTCTTGACCAGACCTTTATAGCTTGAGAACCGGTCAGTTTAGTAGGTCAAAGACTAGCCATCTTCCGGATGCTGGGGGTCATTTACCTTACCCGAAGAACATATTGTCCATATACTAGTACACAAATTAAGAATAAGAAGGTCGAAAGTTTAAATCGGTGACACTGTGAGGCCCAATACCTTTCAATGTAACAATATCAAAATGTTCTTTTCCCGCCAAAAAACAACAATGAGATGTCCCCCCTTTACAAAGCCCTGGAGCTCAGATTGAGTCCAAATAAACCCTTTAAATTACATAGTGAGAATTAGCTCCTAAAAATTAAAACCTAACAAGTTTAAATTAAAATTAAAAATTCTGTAATACAGTGTTGAGATTTCAAGACTCCATTCATGTTTTTACTTATTTGTTGTACAATTTGTTAAATTAACTGAAATAGGGGTTAATTATTTAAAATTGGATCCTGTATCTCCAATTAAACTGTAAACGTAACCTAAAAATAACACAAAAGAAATGACCTTTATATCTGACGTAAAGTAAGAAATAACTGAAAGTATGTAAAGTAATACTGTTGTGGAGAGTCTAGTGTTACAAAGTATACAATTATATAAGATATATCTATTGTACTAGTATGTATATTCTTAAACACTTATAGAAAATATATTATAGTTATAGCAACCCCTGAGCTCTAAGAACAGTTCTAAGTTCACTAAGAAAACAATGATTATTGAGTTTTAAGAAACAACCTGTTTATAAGGTTCATTTAGAACATATTAATTACTAAGCTATAAAAACAGTCTTTTAAAAAGGTTTGCCGAGGACATTGATTATTGAGTTTAAGAAACAACCTATTCGTAAAATTCACTAAGGACGTATTGATTAATGGGTTTTAAAAACATTTTATGAGGTTCATTAAGGTCATATTGATTACTAAGCTTTAAAAAACAACCCTTTATGAGGTTCATTAAGGTCATGCTGATTACTAACCTTTAAAAAACAACCCTTTATGAGGTTTATTAAGGTCATATTGATTACTAAGCTTTAAAAACAACCCTTTATGAGGTTTATTAAGGTCATATTGATTACTAAGCTTTAAAAAACAACCCTTTATGAGGTTCATTAAGGTCATATTGATTACTAAGCTTTAAAAACAACCCTTTATGAGGTTTATTAAGGTCATATTGATTACTAAGCTTTGAAAAACAACCCTTTATGAGGTTCATTAAGGTCATATTGATTACTAAGCTTTAAAAAACAACCCTTTATGAGGTTTATTAAGGTCATATTGATTACTAAGCTTTAAAAAACAACCCTTTATGAGGTTCATTAAGGTCATGCTGATTACTAAGCTTTAAAAAACAACCCTTTATGAGG